TTCTGTTTTGTTTGTGGGAAGACAGCTGGAAGCTGCAGGTGCAGGGAAAGCACAGCTGGGCTATAGGTGCTTTAGGAAGTGGCAGCAGCCAGAGTGGTGCTGTCCCGGGCAAGGAGGCTGAGCACAGATCTCATCAAGGCATCAAGGTTTAAATGGTAGGAAACATGGCTTCTGACACGCAGACACTGCGGACACATGGAGTGAACCCCAATGGCAGCAACGTGTAGCAAATGAATTTGAATTTAGTGACCCTGTTCCTTACTCAGGGTCTCTCAGTAAGTTTCAGAACTCCAGAAGATAGGTTAACACCCCTGCTAGCTTCTCCAAGGCATCTGCAACTATGTCCTCAATGCACTGGGAGAGGGAAACGGGTGGATGGAAACACCCTAACCCCTCAGCGGCTTGTGACTTCTGTCCTTGGAACTGACACCCATGCAAGGGACTCAGAAAAGCACTAACAGTGACGGAAACACGCTATGAGTGGCTTGTGATGAACCGGATGTGGGCCTGAGCATACACTGCAATTGGCACAGTGATACCTCTGATGTATCTCTCAGTTGTTTTACCAGATCTATGCAAGATTTACTCTGCAACGAGAAACATTTTGGGGGCTCAGCAGCCCATGAATTAAAAGCTGTAGTACTGAAGAAATGTCCACACTTAGGACCTCTTAGCTTCTCCTATAACAGAGGGAAAATACATCCCTGGGGAAATTAACGCCACTGTGAAGAACATTGGAAATCAAAAGGTGTTTAGGTGCACTTTGGCTAGACCACAAAGTAATCTCTACCCAAAGGATACCTGTACTCTAATGATGTTCCAGGAAGTAATGTGAGCTTGCTTTAAGGAGACCAGCAAACTGGGACCGCCAGGAAACAGCTGTGCCTTTTTACTCTGGATTCCCGTTTCCTTAAGTCTACCTCTGCAGAGTATTACTCTCAGGAGTTTGACCACCTCACAGTCCTGTAAGGCTTGGTGCTGCTTACCAAGCAAGGTCTCCAATGGAGGATGAGCACATCCTCCGGAAGCCAGGGCAAGAGGCAAGGGGCGAGTCCTTGCAAACACAGGGGTCACCAACGTTGCTCATGTTTCCAAACTACTAGAGCAGACAAGGCGGCTGCTAGCTAAGAGAGAAGTGGGCTTCAGTTTATTCAGATGTCTACACAGCTCTCGTGAGGGCAGGGCTCAAGTGCTTCAACACTTAGGAATCGACGTATCTCAGCGCACAAATCAAGTTCGGAACCTCTGCATGTTGATCAGTCAATTTCGGCTCTGTCTTAGAATGAGTTAATTTTCTCTTGGGCTAAAACATACACATGTGTACACTCACAGATTGCTAAAACTAGCTAATTGTGTGTGCCTAGTGCAGTTGCTTTCAAATAAAACATTTAAAATACACAGAAAACATGTTTGCTACATATACTTTTATGAGCAGATACAACTTTTAATAAACTGCTTGCAATAGGGGTTTTAATTTGAATGATGCATCTCTAAATGAGAACGCATTTTAAATTCTTTAAGAAACAGCAGAAATGTCATTGTGTAAAAATTCTAAATCCTTTTGACAAGTTATATAAACCAATTTTGTAAGAATATCTTATATGAAGGAGACACGCACTTGCTAGAAAACACGAGGTTCTCAATGTTAGCCTCTCCTAAGTTTCTCATGTTGCTCAGTAATATACGATACACATATCGGCAATCTCACACCCTTTGCAGTTTAATTATGAAGAGTTTATGAACCCATTCCGTTGATTTTGCTTTCATTTCCCACTTCCTCGCAGAAGTATTCTTTACTTTCCGTAATATTCATTTTTTTTCCCTTTCACACACATCATTTTCTTGGCGAGGAAACTGTTACAAAATTTTAGAATGCTTTCCTGTTGCAATACTATAACCACATTCTATAAGAACCAGAAATTTAAATCAATTACAATATTGGATTTCAGTGTCATATTTTGACTCAAAAAAGCATCAACCGAATTCAGGTAGCTTCTCTCCAGAGTAATACTTGTTATGAAAATATTTTACCTACCACGTAAACAGGCTAGCCCTCTTTCCCTTTACACTAAGCTACCTCCTACGATCAGGGAATCCTGTGTTGCTGCAGAGGTTTATGTCCTGGATACTCCATCCCCAGTCCAGCTTCCCATTGGTTACAGGTGTTATATATGTATATATATACACATATATGCATGCACAAGTGAAATCTATAATTTAGTAAGAGATATTATATATTAGATACATATATAGTACAGTTGCTTTATATATGTTATGTACATATATTATATACATGTTATTGTGTTATATATATGAAATTTATAATTTAGTAAGAGATATTATATATTAGATACATATAATACATATAGCATATATTATTGATATATTGGTATTGAATATTTTATTGATTTACATTATGCTGTATATATTGTATATAATATTAATATATACTATGTATATTATTTGTATCCTCTTTCAATGTGGTCAGCCATGCATGCTTAACAGTCATTGAAAAAAAATCAGCATTTAAAAATATCTGGAAAAATAAATTTTACATAAAAATCCCTGTAAAGTGCAGACAGCTTACGAAATATTCACATACTGAACAGAAACTAGTACAGCTCACTGCTATAGGGCCAGTACTTGAGGATTCTTCTGGTAGCCTCAAATTTACAGCTTTCATGGAATTACTATAGCATAAGGATTTTCATGGAAATTGAGTTAGTGAGTCTTGAATGATGACACTGAAAAAATCTTATTTTGATGCTTGGTTAGATTGGCAAAATCGTTATACTGTGTACCATGAGCAGTTGGGGAAAAAAAGCAATAAGCAAAAGTCAACGAAGTGTCTCCTGTGAATACAAATATTTGCAGGATAACCAGGCCCTGATCACCGGGATAAAGTGCATCTTCCTGACATTTAAGAGTTTCAATGTCAAAGAGCCGACAGTCAAAGACAACTGGAACAAATATTTATCTGTTGACCACCTCATGACACAAGGAAATTCACTTCCTGTACCTAGTTCATTAAAGCATTCTTTCAATGTGGGTGAGATTAAGTAAACTAGAGAATTTGTTTCCATCTAAAACGTGTTAATGGGAGAATTCTATGGAGACCAACTAAGTTTGAAAGTTGTTCCATACGAGATCTCAAACCATTAGTTTATGGACAGGCATTGTAGTTCAGCAGGTAAAACAAGTGTTTCCTACACCATCATCTCAGAGGCTGCACTGTGTCCGAGCTCTTCTTGGGCCAATTGCCTGTTAATGTGCGCAGGAAGGCAGAAGAGGATGGTGCAAGTGTGTTGCAAGTGTTTGAGTCCCTGCTATTGGTGACAGAGAACAGACCTCCTGGCTCCCAGCTTTGGCCTGTTCTAGACTGGCTGTTGTGGCCAGTGAAGGAGTGAACCAGTGGAAAGACAATCTCTCTCTCTCTCTCTCTATCTCTCTGTAAGCTGCTTTGCCTTTCAAATAATTCTAAAAATAAATTTCTAATGAATTTCGTATTTGTGTGATATAGTTATATATTTCAAATTTAGTGAACACTTATATCATCTAGAAACTGTGACAGCTGATAAATTTTAGCATGTCCTGCAGTCGAGCATATACTGAGGGAAAAAGTAATTTTCACTACTCTACTGATTTAGCACTTTGATTAATCCCATCTTTGCTTGAGAAGTAAATCAGGAAATATTAGAAGGCATTGGTAAACTGGAATTTATGGACATACTGTTTTTGCTTGTGGGAAAAAAAAGTCCTATCAACACGTATTCACTGTTGCTCAGATGATGAAAGGGCCCAGAGCAACTCTTTGTGAATTACTCAGGTACTGCACGTCATTTGGGCTACTTCAGAATATTTCCACCAACCTTTACAAATCAGGAAATCGTAAACTCCACTTTAAGTATTTTCTTATACTGAAGAGACAAACATTGATGTAACTGACATTGACAAGTTTTCGGGAATTATTTTGGCCGAGAGTTGACGATCAACTGCATTCTCTCCTTACATCACCAAAAAGGTTACATGAACATTGCATGAGTCAGTCAAGCTCATCGTACATGTTCGTGCGCCCTGATGGCAAGCATGCTACCCCAGACTGAACTGGACTGGAGGTGCTCATGAGGACTGAGATTTGGGGTCCAATCAGTTGGGACAGTTACAAATGTTTGAGCTTAATATCTGTCTTCTCCCAGACGCTAGTTGCTGGACAAACACAAGTTATAAATAATTCTTGGACTCGGAATGATTTCTTGCCATACAGCTGGCTGAATTTTTAAGTCAAACTCTATTTTATACTGGGCTTTCATTTTACCAGCAAGTAAATCTTCTATGTTGATCTTCTTGACAACTGAATATGTGATGGGAAATGTAGAGGAATTAGTAGCATGCACCATGTTCTGTACTCTCAAATTATTGTTCCTCACTAACTTGGAGATTTCTACATGGAATTCAGTTGCCTTGTTAATGTGGTTACACAACAGTTCACCATATTAAAATTTTGGTTGAATGAGCTTACCAAACAAAAATCGGTTCCATGCATTTCTGTTATAAGAAGAATAGAAATAATTTAAAAAAACTATCAAAATCTGAAAAGAAATTTAGTGCAGGTGCCAAGCAAGCAATCAAATAAACAAACAAATGAATTCTCACTGATCACATGGTAAATGAACAAATTAAACAGACAAAATTCTTGAATGTAAGAAAACAAAAATGAAAGTAGATATATAGTAGAAACATGCACTCTATAAAATTGTATGATATAAAGCATTTACTTACAAATGTACTCGGTCCAGAAACATGTTTAAGGCAGTCTATGGGTACGCCTATCTTAGCTTTTATCTGTTTAACCCATCAAGCATCCTGAGATGTAATCTGTATGACATGCTGAGCTTTACCAGATGGGGCGTCATCTCCCACATCTGTCAACCTTGTTCCCAGCTGCAGCAACAGACAGAGCTAAATCTAAGGGACCGGGTGTGGTGGGGTGCGGCACTTACCTGCTTGATTTGTGGTTACATTTACAGACACATATTGCCGGGCTCCTGGGCTCAAGTTGGATACTCCGTTCACTGCCTCAATCTCAAAGGTATAGTTTGTGTGAGCAAGTAGATCCACCATCATGACAGAGGTGTTTTTCAGGCCGGTTTGCTGGGGGAGGTACCTGACATGACGGCCACACTCCTCACACACACCTGCATGGGAGTTGCACTTCTTGCATGCAATATAATAGGACACATCTTTCCTTCCACCAGTGTCAGCAGGCGGAATCCATTCCAGAAAGACACTAGTCTCATTAACATTTGAGATGGCATTCCGAGGGGCAGAGGGGGGTCCTGGTTTGGAAAGTAAAGTGAGAAAAACATATTTTCAGATGATATGAATTAGGTATCATTTATCAAACTAACCCCTGGCCTGAAGGAAACAAAAGAGATCTGCAATCACTCATTTAGGTCATAACTTCTAGTTACCTGGGAGAAAGCTGACTATAGATTTTAGGGACATGAGTAGGGTGGAAGCCCTGTAGGAGTGATGAACAATGCTGTCCTAACATTTTTCAGGTGAGGCGGATGTTTCGCTTATGGTATATGAAAACACTCCTGGGGCAGAATTGTGTGCACAAGTAATGGCTGTTACAATTGTAGGGCTGAACACTAACTAGTAAGTGGGCCTCCTTGGGGTGTACACTACACATGATTCTATCCTTGTTGACACTGATCTGTCAAATTCAAGAAGCAAATTCCAACGAGCCCAGCTGAAATCAAAATGTCCAGGGTGGCTTTTGGAAACAAATTCTGTAGCTAGTCAAAGAATTAACTAACAGCCTTGGCTCACCTCAAAAGAAGCTGCCTATTGCTAAATAATGATGATAATTTGAAACCTCTCTCTTATGCCAAGACATCACTATGTGTTGGTCAAGATTACAACTTGAAGGAACAAATGTACTCTACTTCGCTGTTTTCTTCTATAGTATGGACCTGCCACTTGTGAAAAATACAAAATTTCATTTGAAAATAACCATGAGGAACACTTCAACTGGAAAAGGACAAAATGTTCATATTTTCATAGGTCAGGTAACAAATTTCAGCTTCTAACAATCTTCCACAATAAAGAAAGTCATGCACTTCAATCAAACAATTATACAGACTACTGAATCGTAACATCTGAAATAACTACCCATGTAAATGATATAACTTCAAAAAGTACTTAACAGACACATCGCTTTTTCAGTCCTATGGTAATAGAGAATGAATGTAAAAATCTGTCTCATTCTAGTGAGATGGAATTGGCTCACTAAAATTTTCACAATGAGAATCACATTTAGAATTCCTTAAATGATTTCTCAGAGTTAACAATATCCTAATTGTGTATTATTTTGTTTTTGAGCCTAACAATTAGCATATTAAAATCTCAAGTTATTCACATAATTTCTAACTCTCAAGTTAAGATAAAATTGAAATTTCAGTCACATGTTCAAATTTTGTGATCAGATATTCTCAAAGTGAAAATATAACAATTGGTTTGATGAAACAAAACGGAGCATGGTAGATGGTGAATGATTCAGAAACTAAATAAAACAAAGGAGGAGGTCGTTAAGTTGATCTGAATATACAGTGTCTGTTTTAAATACAAACAGTCACATTAACTTCTACTTAAATTTTATAATCATGACTACCAAGGAGTAAGTTTAAAACTGATCAGAAAGCTACCTAGTACTTAATGATACATAGCTATAGAAATACGATGTAAATGAAAGAATTCCATAACTACGAAATTGAAACTTTCTTCCCAAAACAACTTTTTACACTCATGAATAAACCCCATAAATTTGCCTTACATGCCACATCATATGCTTTAACACAGAATCATCCCTTTTATGTCAAAACAGTTCTTAAATGAGTACATAAGCATTCTTGTTTACTAAAACCTCCACTTACAGTGTAAGTAGACAACACGGGATTTCTGGAAAAATAGAAAAAGTTACACCCTTAATTTCTGAGGAAAAAAAGTAATGGCTAGCCCAATATGTCCGGCTGAAAAGAAGTGCTAAACTTCCATATTTTTTTGGTCAACTGAAATACACTTGTATTTAACACCTTTCCTGGAAGCCTATAAAACCTAGCAGTATTTAATCCCTTCTCTCTGACTCTACTGCTAACAGCCCCTCTAAGTCAAAATGAAACTCAAGTTCAAGCAAAGATCACCAAGATTAAAAAAACAAAGGGGGAAAAAAAAGAAAGAGGCCATGTCTAACCCACACTTAAATAATGTGAAACTCTATAAAACAGGTTTGACCTAAACTAAGCTGTGATTAATATGCTTAACTACAATGCAAATACATCACCCTCGGATTTTTCATTTTTTTTTTCTTGCTTGTTTGTAAAATACCGCTTACTAGGTAAATAAATATTTGCAACTATATTTCCACTATCCAAAGCAGTTTAACCTGTAAGCTCACTTCCAAAGAGCGAACAGCAAAGTGAGGTTCGGGATCTTGCTCTGAACATGGACCCAGTCGTTACAGGATCATATGCAGAATCAGCTGTACTCTAAGCACAACTAAACACACACACACACATACTCTCTCTCTTTTTCTCTCACTCTCTCTCTCTCTCTGGCAACGTATCAGAAAGATCTTATACCCGAATCCTAAGAGATACTTTTCATTTCCTTTCTATTTATTTATTTATTTTTAAGAAATACGTGCAGATTGTTTTTCTTTCGACAAGCACTGCTAGAACTCACACACTTGGACAAAGATGTGAAGTCTGCCTAGGAGTTTCTGACCTAAATTCTAAGAGCAAACTCTACAGATCACACGTGCCAATGAGGCACGATCTCCTCCCCAAGCCCAACCCTGACAAGCCTATCAGAGGGAGGCTCAGGTCTATGCCAACGAAAGCAAGTCAACAACTGGAATACTTAAGGAAGACACTGACTAAAAAACTGATATTTAAAAACAATTCAATATATATTCCGCTAACTTAAGCAGTTCCACTCTCGTGACAAAAAATTTTATTTTTGTTGGGGTCATTATTTTCTTCTATCTCATGGTAGAGCCTGCCTGAAGTTTAAAAAAATTAAATAAAAGAAAATAAAAACAAGCCCCCAAACTCAAGTTAGTTATGAAATATAGCCATGAGCTATTAGCTTTCAATTCTTTCAGCCATTGCAGTTCTACACAATCCAATGGTGTTAGCCAATGCCCAAACAGCATGTATGCCACCATCTGTGTGCGGTAAGAGAAACTAGCCAGATGTTACTGGTATCTAGGCACATATGCAGTTATATGTCATTTCCTAAAGCTAAGATGCCATGCAAACATGTAATATTCAATCAGCTGTATGCATATAACCTTATAAAGGAAGAAGAAGTGTGTTATATTACATAAAAAATACAATTCTTTATCTGGGGCACAGCCTTCCAAATACCAATTCAATGAGCCTCCTACCAGCATCAACATCATCAACATCCAGGTTCTTTCTTTGTCAAGACCTCAGTGCTCCCTCTCTATTCCAGAATCTTACTACACTCTTAGGTAGTGTTCACACTTCCATTTAAATACAAATCATATCCACTCATGCTTCGTATCGTTTCCACTCAGATGTTCTCCAAAAACATCATCTACTCATTGGCAGAAGAATTCTTCTCATTTGGTAATCATTCATTGTCTAAGATCCTAAGCCTAGACACAACAGGATGATCCTCACTAACGTGAAGCAAGTAATGACAGCAATACGGGAAACTGTGAAAATATTCAAGGTTCAGTTGACATTACGAAATTCAGAAACAATTTCAATGTGTGATGATTTTATTAAAAATAATCCATGATGATTGTCTACAACTCAAAATCAATAGCAAAATTCCCTAAGACTTCCTGAATTGTTCTGCAAGCAAATTCAAGCTACTGGGACCTACAATATTGAAATGGAGCAGGCAACGGAACCATTATGTGAGAAAAAAATTCACGTTTATTGCCTTTCATTTCTGTGGGTTTTTTTTTTACTGTATTTATTTTGCTTTCGGCAAAAATGTCAGGAATGATGTCATCAAGTAAATCAATGACATTCCCACGTAACTAATAAAACGGAGTCCTGAAATCACTCACAAATCGCTGAGCTGCAGATTTTGAAATTAAATGTTCAAGCTTTAGCCACTCTGCTTGCATCATTAGAAAAAATAGTTTTAATAATAGTAAAGGATACACAACTAATAATAAACATGACAGCTTTTTAAAAAGCCTAAATTGTAGTTTGCATGATTCTTGAATCGGGTGTACAGTCCCAGATCTACCTGTTCGTGGAAAATTTCCTGCCTAATTACATACACAACCCTCTTATCAGCCATGACAACTTCGAAAAATAAGGCAAAAGTGCTACTTACTTCATATATATGTGAACAGAGACCTGATTTTAGAAAAATAATCAAGCATGAAAAGGAAAGCGCATTTACCAACGTCATGCTGTATCATGAACAGTCAAATACATCACAAAGTAAAAGGAAAAAAAATCTGCACCTACATTTCTGATGTTGAAATTAAAGTTAGGGGAAATGGGGACTTCCAACAGCAGGTAATACAGAGACAGGTTTATCAATGCTTTCTCAAGGAGAGAGAAATGTGGTGAAACTACAGTGAGAAGCTTTACTTTAGGCCTGTTTGAGAGGAAAGCGTTAGATTGCTAACAGGCTCCACCATACTGTTTCTTCAAGCTGGTGAAAGTTAGTGTCACCAAATACTGTGGGTTTCCTTACTTGTGCATGCCATTGTGGGTGGATCAGACTCCCTCCTGAAATAATCCTTTTCACAGACACAAGAGGTTGATGCTTCCTCATGGGTGTAACTGTGGGGTGGACATTTGCTGCAGCTCTGGCTGTGAGGTGAGGCTTTGAAGAACCCAGGTCTGCACACTGTCAAGAGAAATAAGAGACTAAGCTTTTCCCAGGAACAGATGCAGCGTTTGTTTTTTGAATCATGGCAATATTTTGAAATGTATACACAGAGCACAAAAAACACAAATGTTTGCATCAATTGCAAGAAATTGTCATTGGCTTCTGGATCACAAATAGCAGGCTATTCATTCAGATAATCAAATGTCCATGTAAAATATTTACAGTGAATGCTACCGAAAGCATAGAAGTTTATTTATGCAAATGGAGTTTTTAAGAAATTATATTTGTAAGAGGCACATATTTATATGTATTCAAAAGTGAAGCACTTATTTAAATACAATGTTCCTTTATTCTCTTATTTCTGAAATGATGAATAAATGCAAATTGGTCCATGTACTCCAGCAATGGACAAGTACATAGTAGATCATCAGAACTCGGTTGCAGTGTTCAAACGTTACAATAAGTGGTAGCTTATGGAGAATGTCTAACTCAGCCTATATCATTTACATTATATTTATTTTTGAAGTCAGATTTTATGCACTTATTTTACATTCAACTCTATTTTAGAATTTTTCATGCTAATTCAATATTTCTTTATTCTAAGATTTGTAATATTTATTCTATTCAAATTACAATGATCTGTAAAGAGTAGAAACTGTGTCTACCTAGTTTTACATTCACAATACATATCAAAGTATTTGGCACAATGGATGTTCAAAAAGCATTGCAAAATACATACATGAATAAACAACATGATGTGAAATTTGTAAATAACTACATGAAACTGCTTAGCAAAATTTTAGCTATTATTCTATTAGTAGTTAGGTAAAATGTTTCCATGAAGTAAATCTTTCCTAGTCATTCAAATGTATTCTCCATCAATAATGAAGTAAAACTGTAGTATTCCAAGTACACACATGCTACGAACATCTGAAGACCACCTAACTGATGTTTGGAATATTTTTCGTGCTCGCTTTTCATGAAGTTGATCAATTCTATTTTTTCTACTTGAAAAATCCACCACATTTACTCAAGTGTATTGGTTCAAACATCAGTGCACATTTGCTGCATCTCAAAGGTGAACCTGTATTTCAGTTGGAATTTTGACAGACATAATGAGCTGGGGCTAAATTCCATATGCTGTAAATGATCCTGAGCTTTAGTAATCAGTGCTGAGGCTTTCTGCCATCACCACAAGTAAGCAGGAGTTGGCAAAAATGAGAAGGAACTCTTTTCTGCAGACCTAATTATGGTGATATTAAAGCCTTAATACTCTTACACATTCAGAGAGAACAGGAAGGTCTCGGAAAGATAAGAAGAGCCTTTTGATAGCATTAAGGGTTTTCTTGTAGTTAAATGATTAGGAAAAGATTTAAAATATAATTTTTCTCATAATAGGATTCCTGTAGCAGCCAATACCATATGTAGCAACAATCCAATTTTTCTTCTTTAATCCTTTTAGGAAAGCCATTCTCACTTTAAACTCTACTTGCTTTCAAAATCAGGATGTGTCAATCTACACATTATGCATCCTTGGAATTCATTTATCACTTATGAAGCAAAGTCACTTTTCTCTTAATAAATGTCTGTTAGAGGCTTTCTATAATATCATATAGGACACTGTTTTTCAAAGCACATGGAAGCTTTGAAAATAGAAACTATATATTTATATATATATGTTTATGTATGTGTTTCTATATGTGTGTGTGTATCTATCTATCTATCTATCTACATATATATATGAAACAACAATCAAACGGACCAGAAGTTCAGATGTTCTACAAAATGCTTTTAGATTGTGTGGCAGGTGACAAACTGCTTGGTACTCAGTTGCAAAAGTAAAGATTATGCATGGCTTCCCCTATGTGAATCATAAAGATATCACATTAAAAATACAAATATGATTTTACCAATACAAAGAAAGTTGGGTGGGAGGGCATACTGACACCTAGCACATACTGGGGTCTGGAAGAAGAGGAATGCCAGTGTCAGGCTGCGATTGGGATGGAACCCTGGTCCTCACATTCAACTCACAGGTTCAGCAGCCAGTGACGATAATCTGTTGAGATGCGATAGGAACTGCTGTTTTTGCTGATATTCAAGAAAGACAGGAAAATTACCCAACGTGAGCAGCATGCTTAAGATGGAAAAATCTTCCCTGGGGACACACAAGGTGCACAAAACACAGTGGGGATGCCAGGCAAAGGTCACGAGCCCACAACACCTTACTCTCTTAAGTACGTAGAGATGGTCTGCGGCACATAGTGGCTCAAGTGAGGAGGTCCGACTTCAACTGGGGAGTGAAAAGCAACACGCGTTCAGCAGACACCATACTTGAACCTTTGCGCTCTGATATTCCCGCGGTTGTTGATCCGCACAATGATCCTACGCAATGCCGGGTCGTGGCAGCAGCCGTAGCTCCCAGCCGGGTTTCCATGCAGGGTTGAGATACATAAAGTCAGCTTGATGTTGGACGACTGTTCCATTACAGGATTACTGCAAGTGAGCGTTATGAGTATGGCTAAGGTGCCACACGGGTGCAGGGTCCCAAGGCTTTGGGCCATCCTAGACTGCTTTCCCAGGCCACAAGCAGGGAGCTGGATGGGAAGCAGAGCTGCCGGGATTAGAACTGGTACCCATATGGGATCCCGGCGTGATCAAGGTGAGGAATTTGGCTGCTAGGCCACGGCACTGGGTGCTCAACTACTTTTATGACTGCTTTATAATGGGTTTATCAAAATGGAACATGGTTGTAAGTTGAGGAATTTCTGCATTTGTGACACTATTTTGCAAATAAATGGCAGTCAATGTCAGATCCTACTGCTGGCACCACTAAGCATAACTGACAAAATTAAAATTTATTTACAGTAGTTTCAAACATTTGAGCAGGGAAACAACGTGATAAGAATGGTGTTTAGGGATAATTCTTTAGTAGCTATAAGAGGTAGAAGAGAAAGAACAGGGACAGTTAACTTTTTGTTTTTATAGTATTAGTCCAGAATGAATAAGTCACATAAAAAGGTTTCCAATTACAAGTGAGGAGAAACAAATCAAGAAAAAAAGTAAAATTAAATTGATTTTTTTAAAGATTTATTTTTATTATTTTTTATTGGAAAGGCGGATATACAGAGAGGAGATACAGAGAGGAAGATCTTATCTTCCGTCCGATGATTCACTCCCCAAGTGAGCCGCAACGGCCGATACTATGCCAATCCGAAGCCAGGAGCCTCTTCCGGGTCTCCCACGCGGGTGCAGGGTCCCAAAGCTTTGGGCCGTCCTCGACTGCTTTCCCAGGCCACAGGCAGGGAGCTGGAAGGGAAGTGGGGCTGCCGGGATTAGAACCGGCACCCATATGGGATCCCGGGCGTGCAAGGCGAGGACTTAACCACTTGAGCCACCGCGCGGGGCCCAAAATTAAATTGATTTTATGATAACACTAAATAGGTCACATGATGAATGGGACAGCCTGCACATGATTCCAAGGTGTTACATCCAAAGGCTGTGGAGCTCTAAATGTGACATGTTAGGAGGGAGAGAACAGGCTTAACGTCACTATTTTATGTAAGAAGCAGAGAAGCTCCAGCAGAGGAAGCATATACAATTCAAAGATATCCAAGAAAAAATATCACAAATGAATTACCCACTGCCTTCCGGTTCATGATTCAATATCCCAGTGGAACACACAACTCTTATAAAATTACACTTTTACATATTATTTAACTTCGTTGCTCAGAATCAACATAACTATTCAGTAATATCTCTTCTTCAGACTCCTAACCATCTCCATCCCTTTGGCCTGATGTACTGAGTGTTGAGAAAGCACGGGGCATTTCAGAGGCACCTCTCATTTTCTTACCACTAAGTTTCCAAATCTGAAGGCACTTGTACCAACCCTCCCTACTTCTATTCCTGCTAAAATGATGTGTCCTTCTATATTTCAAAGAGAAATATCTGCAAATGAACTAGGAAAATCCACTGCGCTCTCTTAAATTCACTCTTCAAACATCTTCAATGCTTTTGAAGCAGGCACAAAGCAATCCGCACTTAATCCCAGCAGTCAGTCTCCGCGTAGCTACCAAGTAGTTTTGCTCCATATCAAAACTACAAACTCCTGCTGTGTTTTTGCCATGGTGAAACTGCTCACCTTGACCTGCTTTGGTTAAGGCTCTAGGTGTCTTGTTGCCAATACGCAGGTCACAGATTCCCTGCACTTTGCTCTTTTGGGAAACAAGTTCTTTCCATTACCAAATCCTAGCACACCGAACAGGCTTGCACACAACATTTTAAATGTCTTCTAGTACGGTATTCTACATTAATAATGGTCTCATTTTTAATTGCCTCCTTACAACAGCCTGCATTTGTGACACTCTCTGGACACTAAACATGCACTCTAAGCAAGATCTATAAAAAATAAACTGGTTTTGAGAGCTGTGGATTACAGTACAGGATCTGAAAATCTGACAATATATGGAAGACACTGACCATTATTTGTCGTCGAAGTGAAGTGTACATATTTAGTTCACAATGCAACAAAGGCAAAATTTTGTTAAGGTGATAAACTAAAACTAACTTACCCTGATAAGTACCACAAGATATTGGGCCTGGCAGCGTAGCCTAGCAGCTAAAGTCCTCACCTTGAACACGCCGGGATCCCATATGGGCACCAGTTCTAATCCCAGCAGCCCTGCTTCCCATCCAGCTCCCTGCTTGTGGCCTGAGAAAGTAGTCGAGGACGGCCCAAAGCCTTGGGACCCTGCACCATGCCCAGGTGGGAGACCGGAAGAGATTCCTGGTTCCCAGCTTCAGATCGGCACAGCACGGGCCGTTGAGGTCACTCGGGGAGTGAATCATTGGACAGAAGATCTTCCTCTCTGTCTCTCCTCTCTGTATATCTGACTTTGTAATGGAAATAAATAAATCTTAAAAAAAAAAAAAAGAAAGGAAACACAAGATACTAGAAAAGACAGAAAATGGATAGGAATAGATATATCACTGGATTTCTACATTCTATTAATAAT